TCCCCGGTTCACGCGATTCTCCTGCCTCAGCCTCCTGAGTAGCTGGGATTACAGGCGCGCTCGCCACCACGCTCGGCTAATTTTTTAAATGAGTGTGTGTGTATGTATATATATATATATATTTTTTTTTTTTTTTTTTTTAGCAGAGACAGGGTTTCACCATGTTGGTCAGGTTGGTCTTGAACTGCTGACCTCGTGATCTGCCCACCTTGGCCTCCCAAAGTGCTGTGATTACAGGCGTGAGCCACTGTGCCCGGTATCATTTAGATACTTTACCCCCACTTATAACATAAAAAGGACAAGCCCAGCCCCACCCCTGAGAATTCTGTGTGTATATGTGGGAGATGGGGGGAGGTTGGCATGTGCACTCCCCTGACTCTCAGAGGGTTTCCCAACTACAGCCTCAGGCTTTTCCTTCTGCCCTCCTTTTTTTTTTTTTTTTTTTTTTTTTGAGACAGGGTGTCTCCCAAGTAGTTGGGACTGCAGGATGTGCCACGACACCTGGCTAATTTTTGTATTTTTAGTAGAGACAGGATTTTGCCATGTTCGCCAGGCTGGTCTTCAACTCCTGACCTCTAGCAATCTGCCAGCCTGGGCCTCCCAAAGGTGTGAGCCACCCTGCCCAGCTTGCCCTCTTCAATGAATGTCCTTATTACTCTATTATTTTTTTCCTTCCCCTGTTGAGAGATACTAATAGAAACTGAAAAATGATTAAATTCATCAACAAGGGCCTGGTGAAATAAACTTTAAAAAGAGCCTTACGGTGAGCGGGGTGGGAGCTGTTAAAAAGAATGTGGTAGGCCTCTAAGTGCCGATGACCATTAAAAGATATTCAAGATAAGCCGGGCGCGGTGGCTTAAGCCTGTAATCCCAGCACTTTGGGAGGCCGAGGCGGGTGGATCACGAGGTCAAGAGATCGAGACCATCCTGGTCAACATGGTGAAACCCCGTCTCTACTAAAAATACAAAACATTAGCTGGGCATGGTGGTGCGTGCCTATAATCCCAGCTACTCAGGAGGCTGAGGCAGGAGAATTGCCTGAGCCCGGGAGGCGGAGGTTGCGGTGAGCCGAGATCGCACCATTGCACTCCAGCCTGGGTAACAAGAGCGAAACTCCGTCTCAAAAAAAAAAAAAAAAAAAAAAAGATATCCAAGATAGAGTGTAAAGTGAAAAAAACAAATTGCAAAACAATGTGTAGTTTTAGCCTCTTCATATTTTCATTCATTCTAAGATGTACATCCTTTCCAATTTTAAGATCTCTGATCAGAGTTTAATTGGCAGTTGCTGGTTTTTCTTCCTCCTAGAGGCTTGTAAAATAAAAATGTATCATACAATTAATGACACTTAAAGTTTAATGAAATATGATGTACCTATAAACTATACATAGCACACTAGTCAGGCCAGGACTGCATCTTGGAAAGCCCTAGGTTGGAAAACTCTTAAGCTATGTGGCAAGCCCTCTGGTAGATTTTAAAAACCCTAGTTGTGGCACAGACAGAAATTGGTTACCAGTAAGAGTTACACAGACCAAGTCGGGCGTGTTGGCTCACACTGTAATCCCAGCACTTTGGGAGGCCGAGGTGGGCAAATCACAAGGTCAGGAGTTTGAGACCAGCCTGGCCAATACAGGTTAACCCCATCTCTACTGAAAATACAAAAAAAATTAGCCACGCATGGTGGCGGGTGCCTGTAGTCTTAGCTACTTGGGAGGCTGAGGCAGGACAGTCGCTTGAGCCCGGGAGGTGGAGGTTGCAGTGAGTCGAAATTGTGTCACTGCACTCCAGCTTGAGTGACAGAGTGAGACTCTGTCTTAAAAAAAAAAAAAGAAAACGAAAAGAAGAAATTGGCTACGAGGAACTTGCTTATTAGGTTTGTTGACATGGTAATCACAGAGCATTGTCATGGAAGGCGGAGGCTGGAGCTAAGATTCTAAGGTTCTTCACTTTGAAAGGAGATAAAAAGCCCAGATAGGAGGAGACTCTGGACCCCTCTGCTCTGACAAATTTCGTCTTGCGCTGCCTGGGACTCTCACACCACCGAGCTGGCAGCTGGAAGAAGCAGCACAAGAGGAAATAAAAGGTGCCTGGAGTCCCACCTGCTTTATCAACAAATGTTTCCTTTCTTAGTAGCAAAACTATATCCTTTACCCAAGTTAGGTAAAATGTTTGCCAGGTAGTTAGAGTTCTGCTGAGCTGCTACCCCAGGGAGACCTTGGGCTCCTATTACATGTGTAATATATTTAAGTATGTTTGCATTGTAAAAGCCAGAAAGAATATATACTGAGTTCGAGAGCTATTTCTCAGGAATGAGATTAATAGATTTTAACTTTCTATTCTACTTTATATATTCTCTGTTATTTAAGTTTCTAAAAAACCACTTCCATGTATTATCTTTTTTTTTTTTTTTTTTTTTTTTTTGACGAAGTCTCGCTTTGTCAGCAGGCTGGAGAGCACAGGTGTGGTCTAGGCGCACTGCAACCTCCGCCTCCAGAGTTCAAGAGATTCTCCTGCCTCAGCCTCCCAAGTAGCTGGGACTACAGGCGCAAGCCACCATGCCCAGCAAATTTTTGTATCTTTAGTAGAGATGGGGTTTCACCAGGTTGGCAAGCGTGGTCTTGATCTCTTGACCTCGTGATCCGCCCGCCTCGGTCTCCCAAAGTGCTGGGATTGCAGGAGTGAGCCACCACGCCCGGCCACACGTATTACTTTTGTAGCCTCGGGGAAAAGGTAAAAACATTCCAAAGGGAAAGTGCGGGATAATGTTAATAATGAAGCAGGGAGGAGACAGCTAATTGCGATCTCCAAGCAACCCTCTGGAATTTTGTCATGAGCATGAATTACTTTTCCAATACACAAATTTGCTTCAAGAAATCAAAGAAACGTCCCTAAAGCCCAATTTCACTTCTTCAAGTAAAAAACTAACAAATCCTTCTACATTGCATGCTTAGGAAAAGTAGCGTATTTCTAAATTAAATGTATACATGGTTTGGGAGATTTACTCATTAACCAAATGCTTTGGTAAGAATAAACTGGGCGCTTACTGAATGGTAGATTCAGTTCCTGCGGCCCTCCCGCTTATTACCGCATTTGATTTAAAAACAAAAACAAAACGTTGTGAAAGCCGGCTTCCAGGCATTCCCTGGAGAGGAAGGGACTCCCCTCCCCAGCACCTCCCCTCCCACGTGACCCTGTGACCCGGAGCAGCCATCTTAGGCATCGCCTCATAGAGGAACTACATCTCCCAGAACCCTCGCGCCCTGCGTCGTGCTGGCACTTTTACCGGCCGGGCCTTAGATCGGAGCCTGTAGCCGGGCGCCATCTTTGACGCTGGCAGTCTTGGTTTTCTGCTGGTGGTGCTGCTGCTGGGAGGACGACGGGCGGCAGCGGCCAAGCAAGAAGAAGGACGTGGCAGCAAGCAGGAGTCGGGGATAGTGTCATCGGTTCGGTAAAGTTTCTGTTCTCTGGTAACTAGACCCGTTTTTTGATTCCCGGTTGGCTTGGGGCCGGGGAGGTGGGGGAGAGGGCGAGGGGAGTGGCAGCGGCCTCCCCTCGCCCCTCGGTCGAGGCCTATCCCGGGAAGTCAGAGCGGATCCTTCAGCCTCGCCGTAACAACCCCTCCCCCCACCTCCCGGCCGCGGCCCTCGCCGGGGCGGGCTGGGAGCCCCAGTCTCCGGCTCACTTTTCCCATCCTCCCCGCCTCCACCCCCTTCACCCCACCCCCACGGCGCCTGCTCCTTTCCCAGCCAACCTTCCTCCCCTCCCCCACATCCGGTTTTGCTAATCTGGGGGAGCCCGGAGGAGCCCCCGAAAGCCGACTGTTCCCCCGAATCCCGGAGAGAGAACTGACACTAGATTGCTTTCTTCCGGGCAACAGTTTCTCTAGTTTAGCGGACCCTCACTGCCTAAATCAGACTGAGTGCCGGGCGCTGAATTTACCAACTCTCATTCCTCTCCAGGGTCCCACTACTTTGGAGCTTGTCTCAAACTCCACATACAGAAAGCCACCGACCTTATTCCGGTATCCTACACCCATTCCCCACCCTCATTACACTCCCACCCCTGGCCCTCAGCGTCGGAGTCAAGAGCAACAGGGACACTTCCGTTCTCCTTGTAGGATTGGTGAAACCGTAATGAAGAACACCCCCTAAACTCCCATAATCGGTGCGGATTCCTATGGGGAAGGCCTATATTGTTGACATCTTCCAGGCCTTGGTTCTGGACCTTGAGAAGGTGGCTGTGGAACTAGAGATAGCGATGCTTTTTAGAGTAAATGTATGTAGGTATTGGGGGAAGGGGAGGGATCAATCGAAAAGAAATGGAAGTGGTTTAAAGTTCATATTTCACTTTTTGCTGTCCGTATAGCGTCCAACTTGTGAGTTACTTACAGGCTGTAAAAGCTTCTCCAGCCTAAAAATATCTGAAAACGAAACTTGGATTAAGTCTTGAGACAAACAGTACTTTGAAAATGCAGCATTTAATCTTGTTTTAAAATTTTATTCTCAAAGCATTTTTTTTCCAGCCACTCACATTTTAAAACGTTGTATTACCTTTAGTTAGAACTGAAAGGGCTCAACTAGCATTTGCTGTGACCAGTATGCGGAGTCTGTGTTAGCTTTCCAGAATTGACTTTTTGGGTTGTATTGGCAAATCACAGTCTTAAATGATGAATGTTGAATGGTGCACTATGTTTTTGTTTAAATGAAATTTCCTGAAAATAGTTAATTTCAGAATTCAGGGAAATTGATGTCGCTATCATGAGGCATCATAAAAAAATATATTTTAAAAGTTGAAGGCATTTCAAACAGATACAGCTTTTGATGAAGCAGAAAGAACATGGATCTGAGATTTGGAAGACCTGGCTTCTAGCTGCTGCTAACCAACTCTGACTCTGGGAAAAGGGGACTCGGTTCACTTCTGTAACATGAGGACACTGGACTATTTGAATTCAGAACTTAGAAAATTGGAAGGGACTTTAAAGCCCTCTAAGAAAGAGTTTGGGAATGTTCTCCATTGCTGTCACTTTTCCTCCAAAAATAACCTGGCTTGGAAGTTATTGGTCCAATGGGAATTTGATTCCCCGTAGAAATTGGAGAAAAGGTAATGCAAGGAGAGAAGAACAGCTGTGTTTCTGCTTGAGTAATAAATCCACTAACAGATTCTGGTACGAATTGTGGAGACATAAAGAGAATGAGTGTATGTACTTTAAGTGTACCAGTTTCCTCACTCTCTCCTGGCAGAAGATGCAGCACTTTTAGTGGTTCTGGAATTCTGGGATGTGTTCCTAGTAATTCTGACACAGATGAAGATGTGGTAGAGGAAAAGATGGTAGCAGAAGGAGTGAATAAAGAGGCAAAACAGCCTGCTAAAAAGAAAAGAAAGAAGGGTTTGCGAATTAAGGGGAAAAGGCGTCGGAAAAAACTGATTCTTGCCAAAAAGTTTAGTAAGGATTTGGGATCTGGGAGGCCTGTTGCAGATGCCCCAGCTTTGTTAGCTTCCAATGACTCTGAGCAGGATGAAGAAAGCCTTTTTGAGAGCAATATAGAAAAACAGATCTATCTACCCAGTACTAGAGCCAAGACCTCCATTGTGTGGCACTTCTTTCATGTTGACCCCCAGTACACCTGGCGGGCTATTTGTAACCTCTGTGAGAAAAGTGTCAGCAGGGGTAAACCAGGTAGCCATCTTGGTACATCTACTCTTCAGCGACATCTGCAAGCAAGGCATTCACCTCATTGGACCAGGGCCAACAAGTTTGGAGTCACTAGTGGAGAGGAGGACTTTACCTTGGATGTGTCTTTATCTCCCTCTTCTGGAAGCAATGGAAGCTTTGAATATATTCCTACTGATCCATTAGATGATAATAGAATGGGTAAGAAACGTGATAAGTCGGCATCTGATGCCCTAAGGGCAGAAAGAGGGAGATTTCTCATCAAAAGTAACATTGTCAAGCATGCTTTAATCCCTGGAACTAGAGCCAAGACATCTGCAGTTTGGAATTTTTTTTATACTGATCCTCAGCACATCTCAAGAGCTGTGTGTAATATATGTAAAAGAAGTGTGAGCCGGGGTAGGCCAGGGTCCCACTTAGGGACTTCAACACTTCAACGACACCTGCAAGCCACACATCCTATCCATTGGGCTGTTGCCAACAAAGACAGTGGTGCTGTTGCAGATGCACTGGATGAAGCTGAGACCGAGAGAAGTGATCTCTTGAGTGATACCTTGCATGGAGAAAAGTCTACGGGCAGCCAAGATTTAACAGCTGAGGACCTTAGTGACTCTGATTCAGATGAATCTCCTTTGTTAGAGGTTGAAAATAGATCTGAAAGTCCTATTCCTGTTGCAGAGCAAAGCACTTTGATGCGTGCGCAGGAGAGAGAAACAACACGTTGTGGAAATCCAGTCTCAAGTCAAATAAGTCAGGCAATTATCCAAATGATTGTGGAAGATATGCATCCTTACAACTACTTCTCAACCCCAGCCTTTCAGAGGTTCATGCAGATTGTGGCCCCTGATTATAGGTTGCCATCAGAGACTTACTTTTTCACTAAGGCTGTACCTCAGTTATATGATTGTGTCAGAGAAAAAATTTTCTTGACTTTAGAGAATGTTCAAAGCCAAAAGATCCACCTGACCGTTGACATATGGACCCATGACCCATCCACTGACTATTTTATTGTGACTGTACACTGGGTCTCTTTGGAAACTTCATCTTTTCTCAATAATGGCAGGATCCCCAATTTTAGAAAGTGGGCAGTGCTTTGTGTTACAGGTTTGGCTAAAGACTGTTTGATAACTAATATTTTACAAGAATTAAATGACCAGATTGGTCTGTGGCTTTCTCCAAATTTCCTTATTCCTAGCTTCATTGTTTCTGACAATTCCTCTAATGTGGTACATGCAGTCAAAGATGGTGGTTTTACCCATGTGCCATGCTTCCTGCATTGTTTAAATGTGGTCATTCAGGACTTTTTTTGTGAGCATAAAAGCATTGAGAATATGTTAGTGGCTGCTAGGAAAACCTGCCATCATTTTAGTCATTCGGTCAAGGCCCGTCAGATACTGCAAGAGTTTCAAAATGATCACCAACTTCCCTGGAAGAATTTGAAGCAGGATGAAACTGGCCATTGGATTTCTACCTTTTATATGTTAAAATGGCTCTTGGAGCATTGCTACTCAGTTCACCATAGTCTTGGTAGAGCCAGTGGAGTTGTGCTCACCTCCCTTCAGTGGACTCTAATGACTTATGTTTGTGATATTCTTAAGCCATTTGAGGAGGCTATCCAGAAAGTGAGTGTGAAGACCGCAGGATTGAATCAGGTGCTACCCCTAATCCATCATCTTCTCCTTTCCCTGCAGAAACTCAGAGAAGATTTTCAAGTCAGAGGTATTACTCAGGCCCTCAATCTGGTGGATAGTTTATCTCTGAAACTTGAAACGGATACCCTACTAAGTGCCATGCTTAAGTCCAAGCCCTGTATCTTGGCTACTTTGTTAGATCCTTGCTTTAAAAACAGTTTGGAAGACTTTTTTCCTCAAGGTGCTGATTTAGAAACTTATAAGCAGATCCTTGCAGAAGAGGTTTGTAATTATATGGAATCTTCACCAGAGATCTGCCAAATTCCAACTTCAGAAGCTTCTTGTCCCTCAGTTACAGTAGGAGCTGATTCATTTACCTCGTCTCTAAAAGAAGGCACCTCCAATTCAGGTTCCGTTGATAGCTCAGCTGTAGACAGTGTTGCCCTTGGAAGCAAAAGCTTCATGTTCCCTTCTGCTATAGCAGTTGTGGATGAGTACTTCAAAGAGAAGTATTCAGAGCTCTCAGAAGGTGATGACCCTTTAATTTACTGGCAGAGGAAGATAAGCATATGGCCAGCTTTGACCCAGGTTGCCATCCAGTATCTAAGTTGCCCCATGTGTAGTTGGCAATCTGAATGTATCTTTACTAAAAATAGCCACTTTCATCCAAAACAGATCATGAGTCTGGACTTTGACAATATAGAACAGCTGATGTTTCTGAAAATGAACTTGAAAAATGTTAACTACGATTATTCTACATTGGTTCGGAGCTGGGATCCTGAGAATGAAGTTGTTCAAAGCAATGAAAAAGAAATACTACCTTAGTTTCTTTTTCTCCATTTAAAATGGGCAACTTTTTGCTGTGTTACTGTATCTTAATAGCTATAGTTGTTAAATATAATCATTACTGTTTAGAAACAAACACATCTGGGGAAACCTGAAATCACAAAAGGGCTGAAAATTCCTCAGAGGCAATATAATTTTGATAAAATGAAGATTAAACTTAAAGATTTCATAGCTATAACTCAATGTAGCTAGCACTTGAAAATTTTGCTTATACCAATGAAAGAGAAAAGATTTTTAGTTTAAGAAAATATAGTGCAGCATTGAGAGGCCTTCGGCTTTCTGCCTGGTAGATTGAGCTTGTAATTGGTTTTAAGTAAAGTTTTCCCCACCATGGGAAATTTTATTGCTCTGAAATCAGTGAAATGAGAAAAAAAGTACACTCAGCTGGCATTCCTCCTGCCCCTGTTTTTGTTTCCTTAAAAGCCCTGATTCTTAATTACAACTTGGCAAAAAGAAAACCCATGAAATTGTTTTATATTTGCAAATTTCTAATTGCTCCTCATACTGGTCAGCTTTATAATTTCAAATTGTTGAGTGTGATAGTGTTACCCTTTATATTTAGAATTGGATCTTATATAAAAGGGAAATATTAGAAAACAAGTAGGAAAATATACTTTTAGTCTTTGAAATGCCTGTTTTAAACCTTTATAAAATAATATAAAAATAACAAGGATTGTGTAGGTACTTTAAAATAATTTATGGGTAAAAACATACTAAAACATTTGCAAGAATTGGAAAGGATTGAATGGGAATTGTAATGAAAGCCCTTTGAACATACTTGGAAGAATCCAGTAGATATTTCCCAAAGATCGTTTCTGTAATTTTAGGTAATCTTTTTAAAAGCATACTTAATGACCCATAATACTGTATTAACTATGCAGTTGTTTTGGCCATTGAATTCTCAATGAAAACTAGCAGTCAATATTTTTATGTGTTAGGAATCATTGGTGAGATGAGTGAATGGATCTCATTATCTTTAAAATCCCTTTCTACTCTGAAAGTATGTTTCGATGATTGAGTAGGAGGCCAGAAAATGATGACTTTTAGTAAAAGTCTATTAAAAGTTTCAGACTGAATAACTAATGTAAGATCCCAATTTTTCCTTTTTTTCATTTTAGATTTGGGGATATTCCCTGCCCAAAAAATTCGTGGAAAATTGACTAGTATTAAGTGTGAGTAAAAGGTGTCCACTTTTTTTTAAGTTTTGATTTTAGTTTTGTCTTGGATAGTATTTGGCAAGATTTAGCCTAGAAATTATGTAGTATTTATTACATAAGAATCAAAATTGCTTTGTTACTGGGCTGGTTTCAGAGTTTAGAACTCATTTCTATGTATCAAAATAGGATTTTTTGTTTTTGTTTTTGATTTTTTTTTTTTTTTTTTAATTCTTAAATGGTAAATATGCCATTGTGAAATGAAATCTCAACTCCAAAAGTTTACCCTTTTACTAACTGGAGTACATATATAATTATAAAGTCTTTAGCTGTAGCCATTAGTAGAAAAGAATTTGGACCTAGGCTGTATAAGCAAGCCTTTCCAGGGCGAATGTTTAATGGCAAACCAGTGACACTGGTGTTGATATAAAATAAGAAATAAATTTTCCCTTAGATAAAGCTTTCTGTGTTTTGACAGTGCCAATTTAGAATGGCTATAATGCTGCTCTGCCTTCTACAGCTTGCTGCACCACTCTGTAGTTACTCTATTACCATACGTTTCTATCTTTTTTGGTTAAATACTCTCTGATGATGATGATATATATACATACATCCATATTATACATATTGATAATATGTGTAAGGATTTACCTTCGTCTTTATTTTGTGGGCTGGGAAAAATTTAGTGTAACAATAACTTCATGATACTTTGGTATAAGAGTAAGTTCTTTATTTTTATAATGAACCCAAATCTAAAGTCTTTTATAGTGTATTTTAAAAGGGGAAACTTATCCAAATGTTTTATTTCTACACATTTGTGTATATGTGTGTGTGTGTGTATAAGCCAGTTAGTATATATCTCTATGTATATTTACATAAAACACTATATTTTTACATACAAGTATGCTTTTATTATACAGATAATAAAGATGGGGGAAGGTTTCTGTTTTTTTCTTAATAGGTGAAGAAATCTTGAAGACCAGAGATTGGATCTTACTGAATTTTGGTGGTTTTTTTTTTTTTTTTTTTTTTTTAATTGTTCAGCTATGGAAGATGGATTTTCTTTTTTCATAATCCTTTGACTCTCAAGTTCATCTTTAAATGAACTCTTTTTTTTGTTTTTTGTTTTTGAGGAGATAGTTGACCTTAGCTGTCTCCAGTCTGACAAAGGTTATTTGAATGGACTTAATCTTCCAGTAGTTGGGAGATGTTTTAAAAACACATGCTGTGTTTGAATTGTGGCTGAGAGGTTTTTTTGGCAATGTGAGGAGGAAAATTTTTTCTGCCTCATTATTATTAATTCATGGATTGAGTGTTGGTTCGACCTACAGGCGTAATAGATTGGAACTCAATGAAGACACAGACGTTCCTGTTGAGAGCAACCAGCTAATGTAAGTGGGGAAGCAGGCATTTTTCTTATGAAAGGAGTGAACATTATTGTCATTTAAGGGATAATTTTCATGGATCAGTAAGAAATTAAAAGGGCATTGTCTAGACATTTTTGCTTTTACATAATTGTTTACAAACTTTTAGTATTGGGATGGAAACATATCTTTCCCCCCTCCCTGCCCCCCGCCGCTGGAGTGCAATGGTGCAATCTTGGCTTACTGCAACCTCTTCCTCCTCAAGTGATTCTGCTGCCTCAGCTGGGGTTACATGTGTGCGCCACCACGCCTGGCTAATTTTTGTATTATTAGTATAGAGAGTTTCACCCTGTTGGCCAGGCTGGTCTGGAACTCCTGACCTAAGGTGATCCACCCGCCTTGGCCTCCCGAAGTGCTTAGATTACAGGCATGAGCCACTGTGCCTGGCCCGTATTTTTTCTTTGTTTTAATAATATATGTATATTGTAAAAAAGGTGAAAACAATATAGCCAAACTTAAACCCTCCTGTAATTTCATCTCCTTGGAGAAAAGCACTGGATTATTTTGTTTTGTTTTGAAACAGGGTCTTATGCTCTGTCACCCAGGCTGGAGTGCAGTGGCATGATCATAGCTCACTGCAACATCAAACTCCAGGGCTCAAGAGATTCTACTGCCGAAACCTCCTGAGTAGCTGGGACTACAGGCGCGCAGCCCTGTACCTAGCTACTTTTTAAAACTTTTTGTAGAGATGGGGTCTTCTTGTGTTGCCCAGGCTGGTCTCAAACTCCTGAGTTCAAACCGTGTTCCTGCCTCCACCAACCAAAGTGTTGGAATTACAGGCATGAGCCACCACGCTTGGCCTCCCATTCCTTTTTAAATAATGACTCTAGATGATTTTATAATCGAGTTCCAGTAATAAACTCATTGGGATTTTGACTTGAATTACATTCGATATGTGCATTATTTTGGGGAGAAGTAACTTATTTAATCCTCTGTTCCATTTATTCATCATCCAGGTCTTGTGTGCCTTAATAGTTTCATAGTTTTCTGGTTTTATTTTTAATTTAATGTGGACCTTACGTACTTCTTCATTTTCTTCCTGCATGTATTTTTATTTTTATTTTTATTTTTTTTTTGTGAATGGTACTCTGCCATCATCTGAATAATTGCTGCTGGCATGAAGGAAATTTACTGCTTCTTGTAGATTTTATATTTTTATTATTTTCAATTTGTTTTAGTTGGTTTTCTTTTTCTTTTTTTTTTTTTTTTTTTGAGATGGAGTTTCACTCTTGCTGCCCAGGCTGGTGTGCAGTGGTGCAATCTCAGCTCACTGGAACCTCTGCCTCCTAGGTCTAAGTGACGCTCCTGTCTCAGCCTCCTGAATAGCTGGGATTACAGCCATGTGCTACCACGCCTGGCTAATTTTGTATTTTTAGTAGAGATAGAGTTTCATCGTATTGGTCAGGCTTGTCTCAAACTCCTGACCTCAGGTGATCCACCTGCTTCAGCCTCCCGAAGTACTGGGATTACAGACATGAGCCACTGTGCCTGATCTGTCTCATCTTTTTAAATATATGTTTGTAATTTATGCCTTTTTTTCCTTTTGAAAAAATTGAGTAAATGTCCTATTCATTAAATATGAAGAAATATTCATTATTGATTATAAGATGTGATATTGAGGAAACCTCAGAATCAAAATATGATATAATAGAGATTTTTTTTTTTTTTTTGAGATGGAGTCTCGCTCTGTCACCCAGGCCGGAGTGCAGTGGCACGATCTTGGCTCACCGCAACCTCTGCCTCCCAGATTCAAGTGATTCTCCTGCCTCAGCCTCCCGAGTAGCTGGGATTGCAGGCATGTGCCACCACACCCAGCTAATTTTGTATTTATAGTAGAGATGGGGTGTCTCCATGTCGGTCAGGCTGGTGTCGATCTCCCGACTGTGATCCACCCACCTCAGCCTCCCAAAGTGCTGGGATTACAGGCATGTGCCCAGCTTCTTTTCTTCACTTTTTAACCATTTTTTCTTTTTTGAAATCTTTCAAAAGTTACTACAGGATTTTTTTTGTTCTTTACCCCTTTTACGCTATTAAATATAATGAGTTTCCTGATGTTAACTCATTTCTAGTTCTAGAATAAACCTTTTTGATTATGTAGTGTTTTGTTTATTATTTATTTTTTGAGATGGAGTCTCACTCTGTCACCCAGACTGTAGTGCAATGGTGTGGTCTCAGCTGACTGCAACCTCTGCCTCCCAGGTTCAAGCAGTTTTCCTGCCTCACCCTCCCGAGTAGCTGGGGCTACAGGCGTGTGCTGTCACACCCAGCTAATTTTTATATTTTTAGTAGAGACATGGTTTCACTATGTTGGCCAGACTGATCTCGAACTCATGACCTTGTAATCTGCTCACCCTGGCCTCCCAAAATGCTGGGATTACAGGTGTGAGCTGTCGCACCTGACCTTTTCATTTATTTTTAATTTTTATTTAGAGATGGGGTCTCACTGTGTTGCCCAGGCTGCTCTCAAACTCCTTGCCTCAGGTCAGTAATCCTTCCAAAGCTCTGGGATTACAAGCATGAGCTACCATACCTGACCATGTTACTATTTTAATATATAGCTGGTTCAATTTGCTAATGCTCTATTTAGGATTTTATCTGTATCGTAAATCAGGTGTCTGAAGCAGTTGTTGTAAACATTTTTAAAATTTTTATTTATTTGTTTAGAGAGTGTCTTGCTCTGTTGCCCAGGCTGGAATACAGTGATGTGATCAAAGCTCAGTGTAGCCTCAATTATTCCTGGGCTCAAGTCTTCCTCCAGCCTCATCCCCCTGAGTAACTGGGATTACAAACGTGACTCACTGTGCCTGGCTATTGGTAAAAATATTATGACTGTTTTTTGAGTTTGTAATATATGTGGCACAAAGTTTTGTTTTGCCTTGTTTTTTTTTTTTTTTTTTTTTGTAGAGATAGAGTCTCACTCTGCCTCCCAGGCTGGAGTGCAGTGATGTGATCATAGCTCACTGCAATCTCAAACTCCTAGGCTCAAGTGATTCTTCCAGCACAGCCTCCCGAGTAGCTAGGATCACAGATGCATGGACCATGCCCAGCTAATTTTTTTTTTAAATCTTTTTTTAGGAAGGAGACATGATCTTACTATGTTGTCCAGGCTTACTTATTTATTTATTTTTTTGAAAGTGGGTTTTGCTGTTGCCCAGATCAGAGTGCAGTGGTGTAGTCACGGCTCACTGCAGCCTCAACCTCTTGGGCTCAAGCAATCCTTCTGCCTCAGCCTCCCACTCCTTTACTGGAAATAAAGGCATGTGCCACCATACCCGGCTAATTATTTAAATTATTGTAGAGATGGGGGTCTCACTATGTTACCCATGCTGGTCTCAAATTCCTGGGCTCAAGCAGTCCTCCTGCCTCGGCCTCCCAAAGTGCTGGGATTACAGGTGGCTCACATACTTGGCTTGTTTTGTTCTTTTTCCACTTTTTTTTTTGAGACAGAGTTTTGCTGTTGTTGCCCAGGTGGGAGTACAGTGGCGCAATCTCGGCTCACTGCAGCCTTCACCTCCCGGGTTCAAGAGCTTCTCCTGCCTCAGCCCTCTGAGTAGCTGGGATTACAAGCATGTGCCACCATGCCCAGCTAATTTTTTGTATTTTTAGTAGAGATGGGGTTTCCCCATATTGGTCAGGCTGGTCTCGGACTCCTGACCTCAGGTGATTCGCCCACCTCGGCATCCCAAAGTGCTGGGATTACAGGCATAGCCACTGCTCCTGGCCTCTTTTTCTACTTTTATTGTGTGTGTTTTTTGTAAATTCTTTTTCTGAAGTTAGAATATTACTTTGAATATTTTTCAGAAGTACAAGTATATAGGTAGTGTACCTTTTGAGAAT